ACCAAAAAAGTGGTACGGTACGGTTCGCTATTTTGGTACCATTCACAACTTCTGACAGTGGAAACGGAAATAATTGCGTACCGTACTGTACCGAACCATACCGCTCAGTGGAAACGAGCCAAAAGACTGATGAGCAGCAACCTTTTTATTTTGGGTATGTCATTTGTGTCTCCATGCCAAAAAATGGGGGGTGACAGCAAAGGGGTTAACAAACTCGTGGAAAGTGTATTTGTGTCTGACCTGTTTGTTGGTGAAAGCTCGTATGCAGCGCGTCTGGTATTTGAGGCTGGACTCTCGCCTCTGCTGCACGTATCCCATGTTCCTCAGGTCCCAGACCAGCACACGCCGCCCCGCCGTCCCCACGATCAGCCGGTCCCCAGCCACAGACAGCGTGTAGACCTGAAACACAGCCACAGACAGCTGAAACACAGCCACAGACAGCTGAAACACAGCCACAGACAGCTGAAACACAGCCACAGACAGCTGAAACACAGCCACAGACAGCTGAAACACAGCCACAGATCAGAGCCGCTCCTGCGCCAGAGCCGCTGCGTCCCTCACGTCTGCTCACCTTCTCGGGCTGTGTGAAGGTCCCGGCGTTGCAGGGTGTTCTGGGGTCCCAGAGCCTCACAGACATGTCCCAGCTGCCCGTCACCATCACATTGACCTCCGGACAGTATTCCACACAGCGGATGGGAGCGTCGTGCGTCCCCACGATTGTGTCTGAGGAAGAGCACAGATGCAGTCACACACCAGCGTGTCGTGTTTAAAGGGATGCAAAATTCACTTTTACATGTTGTTTGAACTGAAATGTGTGTTGGCAGTGTGTACACAACCACACTAGAATGATAAAAATCCACCCAGTGTTTTTTTTTTTTTAAATCCCCATAAATAATGACCCCTTTCTCAGATCAAGCCGATCTCAGATTCTTGGCAGAGTGACGTCACACAGACCCAGGCCCCTCCCACGATTCTTGATTGACACTGGTGTTTTAGCACAGACCCGCCCTGGGTGAGCTGTAGACAGTAGGGATGGGCATTTTTGGCAATTTGTCATTTCGATCATCAATAGGTTTCAAAAACGAGTATTCGGGGGCGGGGCATGGCCGTAATGGAGATAATAAAAAATATCTGAAGACTAGGGGTGGGCAATATAGCCTCAAAATGATATCACGATATTTCAAGAATATTTGCGATAACGATATTTATGACGATATAGAAAAAAACATGGAACAACGTTTTATTGGTGATTGATGCAGACAAAATCATGGCCACGAATTTAGAATAGGCTAGTTCTCTTTTATGCTAGGACTACATTATGGCCACGAATTAAGAATTAATTTTTTCGTTTAGTCTAAATTATGGCCACGAATTAAGTATTCATTCTCTTGTTTAGGCTTAGCTGCCACGAATTCATTCGTTCGTTAATTCGGTCATTCCCTAGTTTTAGTAGGCCTAAATCGTGGAACTAATTATTATATTTCGTAATTACTTATTAAAATCATTATTGCTTAAAATTAATAAATAATAATAAATAAATAAATAAAATAATAAAACCTGCTGACGTCGTAGAAACGAATTGTTAAATCGAATTATATTCGGAGCTCCGTAGTTATTAAATCATCTCAGTTAAACTGTAGACCTAAGCTAACACACAGCTGTATATAGGCCTAAATACAGAACTACAGAGTACAGAAGATATTAGCCTACACCACTTAGGCCAATTAAAATATTATTTAAAAAAAAAAAACTGACCCGAAACAATAGGTAGTCCTTCAGAATGTAGGCTAGATATAGGCAGCAGTAATTTATAATCTAATATAATGCACGCAAATTTGTTCTTTACAGAACGGAGCGGGATCTGAGCGGGAATTGGTTTACGGTGAGCGTGAGCGGAATATTAACGGAGCGCTTGCTTGGGCGGTTAGAGCGACTGAGCGGAGCGCACGTCCATAGAGCGGAAAACGTAGCGGAGCGTCACACCGCTCCGCTTCGCTCACATGCTCTGCTGTGAACAGAGCTTTTTTTGACAGGGTCGTTTTACACTACCATTGAGAAATGTTCACCAAAGTATGTTACAGACTTTTCATGAAGACCCTGTGGGAAACGGGCATCCGATGACCCCTTTAAACTCACCCTGATCCGTGTTGAGATCGTGCGTCTTCAGCTGGCTGTCCAGACCGCCGCTCCACGCGTGAGTCGGATCCTGAAACGACACGAGACACAGAGATCAAACACGGGAGCGAGCGAATGCGTGGTTCTGCAGGGTTTCTGTGATGCCCCTCACATAGAAAGCACAGTCCAGAACCGGCGCCAGATGCTGGTACTTCATCCTCATGCTGTTAGCGCTGACGTCGAACAGACGGACCGTACAGTCCCACGACGACACCAGCAGGAACTGAGCCGAGCTCGGGCTGAACTTCACAGCCGAGACGCTGTCCTCTGGACCCTGAGAGACACACACACACAGAGACAGACAGACAGAGACACACACACACACAGAGACAGACAGACAGAGACACACACACAAACACAGACACACACACACTCCTGCATTATCTCCAGTGTTGGGGAGTTACTAGTTACATGTAAATTAAGTAATTTAATTACAAAAGAATTGTAATCAGTTACTGAGAAAAAATTTGTAATTAGATTACAGTTACTTGAAAATGTTAACGATCACAAAGGGAGTTACATCTGGATATTTTTTTCACATACACCCACATACAGATTTAATTGCTTTCTTTCAGAAATTAATTTGACTGCTCTAAAATATGAGACAGCAGTGTTTCAGGAGTTTAGGACACATTTATCTATAACTGTTTTATTTCCTATTTGGTTTTATGTATATGCTTTATTTTTTAAGATGAACAGTTTTTCCCAGGCATGTGTTAGATGCCAGTGTTTTCTGTCATAACTGTGCAAAGATTTGAATTCAAAAACATCATAGCTATTAAACGGTTTCTTGTTATGGTTTTAAATCTGTATTTAACCTCAGAATGATCTCAAAGTAAAAAGAGGTGCTAAAGTCTGATTTTGTGGTGACTGTGCTTTAAAATTAAATTATTATAATCTTAATTCAAGTGAAGAAGGATTTCGAAACTGACAGTAATCAGTGTTGAGTAATCCTGTAATGCCTGCTTTACATGTTTGAAAACGATTAACAGTTCAAAACATTAGAAATTTAGAAAAGTACATCAGCTACATTACTTAAAGTAATTGAAATGGTTACACTACTAACTTATTACATTTTAGATTTCAAATTTTAATCTGTAACTTACCCCATTACATTTCCAAACTAGGGTGATGTTAGTGATCAACCCCACAGACACGAGCTGAAGATCAGAGAACATAACTTACCTCAGCGAGCAGTTAGCATCGTGTTTAGATTCTGCTCGGAGTCACTGCACACAGGAACGAACTCGGACTCAATCGGAGAGTCTCACTGACTGAACTCGACCAAACGGACTTTATATGAATGTAACGTTAATATTTATTTTAGCATCAGAGTGAATCTGAATAACGCGCGCGGCTGCTAAAGCCTAAAACTGCCGTGTTTTTATTCAGAGCTGAAGCTTCCGCTGTGATATCCGAGTAAAACTCTCTGAAACACAGCTGAGCGTTTTATTAATCTTGTCTTAAAAGTTTATGAAATAATCAGAATTTCCGTTAAATCTCACCGTGCTGCTCTTCTCCGCTGCTGCTCTGCCGCTCATCGACGCGCTACTCTGATTGGACGCGTTCACAGCAGAGCTCCGCTCTCATTGGTGCAAAGCTCCCTCTAATGTTCGTCTTCTTCTTCTGTGAGTTTATTGGCGGGTTGCAATCCAACTGGAAAGGTGCATATCGCCACCTACTGTACTGGAGTGTGACGAAGATGGAACATAAAGCTTTCTATATTCTGTTCTTTAGACCGCTATTTCTCAAGAACTTAATTAATGCTGTAATTATTTTATTCAATTCTACTCCAGCCTTTAAAATATTATATAAGGTAAAATACCCCAAAAGCTTGCATATCTCTTATTGGAAAGGTGCATATCGCCACCTACTGTACTGGAGTGTGACGAAGATGGAACATAAAGCTTTCTATATTCTGTTCTTTAGACCGCTATTTCTCAAGAACTTCATTAATGCTGTAATTATTTTATTAAATTCTACTCCAGCCTTTAAAATATTATATAAGGTAAAATATCCCAAAAGCTTGCATATCTCTTATAAATTCTCTAACGTTCTCTAGCGATTATTGGTTACAAGGATTAATTTCCGGGCATGAAACAACAAAATACCGCGAGATGTTGCGTATTTCCGGCTGTTGAATAGGCTTGTGATGATAGACAGGGTCTGACTGAGATCATGTTCACTGTCAGTCATTATGTAGGGTATTATTTATCTCATTTGTGTAATATGTTTTCCAGTATAACTGTATGATGTTCTCTGTGTGATTATAAACACTTTAATCATATTCTGTGTCTGATCGTGTGCTGTGTTAGTCGCACATGGTAATATTATGATATGAAATTATGTCATATGATAAAAAAAAAGGTAGGATCATTAATTTCTTCGTTTAATATAAGCGAGTTTGTCTTTATTGTTGCTGTTTTCATTAAAAATAAATAAAACAAACCACAAACTAAGCATTTGTTTTAAAAGAGGGAATCTCATTTGTGTAATATGTTTTCCAGTATAACTGTATGATGTTCTCTGTGTGATTATAAACACTTTAATCATATTCTGTGTCTGATCGTGTGCTGTTAGTCGCACATGGTAATATTATGATATGAAATTATGTCATATGATAAAAAAAAGGTAGGATCATTAATTTCTTCGTTTAATATAAGCGAGTTTGTCTTTATTGTTGCTGTTTTCATTAAAAATAAATAAAACTAACCACAAACTAAGCATTTGTTTTAAAAGAGGGAAAATACCTTATTTATTTGGGTTACAACGCAAGTAGACTATATCCGTCTTATTTATTTTGTTAATAAAAGTTAGATGTTTAATATAGGCCTATGCGAATTTGCCATTGTACTATTCCCGCGGTAATGATTGTAAGGGTTAATTACAGATTTCATCTTCAACAGAAATGTTTATTTTCTTGCCTTAAAAATGAACTTCTCCCGATGTTCTGAAAGAAGGTTATTTGTGACGGAAGACAATTCAAACATTAAAAAGAAACATCCGAATACATTAGACATTTGATTCACTGTAGGCTATATCATGTAGAAAGTGTAAAATGTGGTTCTCCTGCTATTTTCATGATGAAGAGCTTCCAAAAGCGCTTCTGTCAGGTCACTGTTATTTATACAGCACTTTTTACAGCTTTACAGTATTAAACAGAGAAATAGTGTGCCGTTCTCCTCTGGCCAGACGAAACCAGCAGTTCAGCTCCAGGCTGCAGCAGAGTCAGATTGTGCAGAGGACTCGTCTGGCTCCTGTGGTCTTGTCCCGGTGGCCGTCTAGGAGACAAGGTCCTTACTGGGGATCTGTCCCTGTTGAAAAAAACAACATATGCTGGTTAGGTATGTTTTGAAGCTGGGATGCTAGTTTAAACTGGTCCTTGGCTGGTTTATGCTGGTCCTTAGCTGGTCATGTACTGGTCCTAAACTGGTCCGACCAGCTTAAAACCAGCACATGACCAGGTGCAGAACAACCACCCAATAAAGCATTACAATAATCTAACCTTGAGGTCATAAACGCATGGATTAACATTTCTGCATTTGACATTGAGAGCATAGGTCGTAATTTAGATATATTTTTGAGATGGAAAAATGCAGTTTTACAAATGCTAGAAACGTGGCTTTCTAAGGAAAGATTGCTATCAAATAGCACACCTAGGTTCCTAACTGATGACGAAGAACTGACAGAGCAGCCATCAAGTGTTAGTGTCATACAGATCTAACACTGAGCAGAAAACCACTCTAAATCTAAACTGATGTGTGAAATCCGGTTACACAGACTTCATAATGTCTATTAGACAGGTGATGAATGTGACTGGAGTATTAATACTCGCTGCTGTGACTCGCGCAGTATAGCGGCGTCCGCGGGAGTCCAGCTTCATGAATATGAGTTATTAATTCTGAATCAGTTATGAACTTACTGAAAATGTCTGTTTTCTGAGCGTCCCAGACTGGAGCTGATGGTGAAACTCTGCAGCTCTCAGCATCAGCGGACACGCGCTTTTCTACTGGAAATATTAATATTAATAAATAAAATCGTCCTGAAGTTTGGAATATGATCCCGTGCACTCGTTCATTCGAGCCAATCAGAGCACGCATAAAAATAAAGCGTAGCTTATGAAAATCGGATGTGAATGATCTTTTAATTCATATTTATCTCGTAGTGATTGATCCCATTTAAAATCTGAAACCCCGATTATTTACTCTTAAATGCTGTTTTAGCTGCAGATTAAAAATACATGATATTATTGCCTTAAACATGAAGCGAATTCTCACACATTTGTAGGCTACTGTAGGCTACTTACATTATAGATTTTAATATTTTAGTGTGCGGTTTTGCAGAGAATATTCTTTAATAATAATGATTCACGAATTTCTGTGAAAATATAAATGCTACTGTGCATTAATAGCCTACTAAGAAATAAAGGATTTTCAATGGATTTATTTATACGCGCCATATATAGCTTGTTGTTGGTAAACATTTACGAGAATCAAACAATAACCCGTGGCTTTTATAATGCTTAGTGAATCAGAAACTCATATTTTGTTCTCCTCATTACAAGCATTAATTGATTGTTTCAAACATCAGATTTTATTTGGCGCCAGCAACAGATAATTTCACTGAACGCGGCGAATGATGATTATTAACATATTTTTATTAAGGTTATAATATAATTTTAGCGGTGATCATCTCAATTACAATTAACGTAAAACCCGCGCCTTCATAAAAACACTGACTTTATGTTATTTTTATTCTCTATATATAATATTGAAGACAATAGAAAATAAAGAAAAATAATGATTACAAGAATAGTTCATAATTACAATAGAAGCGCTTTATTAAGTCATTCCGAGAACATCTTCAGAATCACAAACACATTCAATAATGAACATTAATTCTTAATTATTTTTAAAACATTAAAAAGATCTTACAGCATGATTAAAAAATATACAGAAAAAGTGTGTTTTTCCAGCATTTCGTTATTTTACTGACATGAGACACAAACACAGAAAACCCGAGACTGACTGATTTTGGTGCGGCATTTACACACATCTTTAGGGAAAAGAGAGAAAATCCGCCTGTTTCAGGCTCATAATAATAACAATAATAATAATAATAATAATAATAATAATAATAATAATAATAATAATAATAATAATAATAATAATAATAATAATAATAATAATAATAATAATAATAATAATAATAATAATAATAATAATAATAATAATAATAATAATAATAA